GAAAGATCTGCACGGCAAGACAACAATAAACATGGTTCCAACAGATCATGGTGGAGAGCAACTTATCCGTGTTTTCATTTGAGGCGAAACGTCCAGCACTGCTGAATCACAAGTCAATGACAGATTAAGTCACAGAATCCACAGCTTGTCCAGTGTCCTTCAGTGCATTAGTGTGACTTGGATACAGGGGAATATCAATAACAGCTTGAATCACAAATGAGAAGGCAAAACTATCGCACAGCCTTCAGAGCTTTGGCCACTCTGTTTTTCACGTACACACATTCTCTTGAGCCAGTAGCATAAGCAGAAGCCGTTCACACAGTGCACGTCAAATCACCCACAAACACTCACGCACACTCACAAGCCTGCGCACACACAAACATGCGCCGGGACAGGACGCATTATACAGTAGTAAATGCCAGAGTGCTCTCGTCAAGTACATCTATAAAAACATCTTTCCACAGCACCAAACTACAAGCCCTGACCGCTAAGAGACAAATATTTTGTGCCACTTGGTAGTGTACAAGCACATGTCTAAACTAAGAAAGAAGACCATAATAATATTTTATGGTCTGCTTACTTCTCATGAGTAATGAGAAAATACTCATTACTTTCCACATTGTTGAATCACAGAGCATGATTGTGTATCAAAGCAAATAATGAGATTCTGAATCATCACAGCCCTATAAAAAGTATATCCTGGTTGGAAAAACAGACATTATACATGGATGATAAACATTAACATTATAAATGTCCTCGGGCAGACACCCTGAAAACAGCTGAGACATACAGTCAAAGTAATAATTGTACATTTTAATATATAATGCAGTCTCGGAGTGAAATAGTCCTAGTTTAAACTGTACAATTGTGAAATATACAGCCTCCGTATAATCTAATGAGAACCCAGAGGATTAGCATGAAGGCTATAAGCTCATGCTGAAACTTTGATAAGTGTCCTGCTGCAGTGCATGCTGGGTAAAAGAAAGGATATTCTCTGCACCAGTATCTCATGGATCTGTGGAAGCTGGAAGCCAGAGCTCCTCTGATTAGAACAGACAGACTCCAGATTGTAATAACGGCACAATGGTTGCTATGGTGCTGTGAGGGTATAATTACTTCATGCATTTATGCATAAAGGTATGAGCGTCAGGGTTATTATTTTGATCTCGCACCACTGCACAAGCTACGGACATTAAATGAGACAAATGAAAGTCATTATCATATCCTTGTACTTTGCAATATCTAGTTTTTAGTTCGATTGGTACGGTTTGTTTAAACTAAATATTCGAAGCAATAAAAAAAGTTCAGAATTCCTTTTCTACATTAGCCGTGGTGCTAATCTGCCATCTTTCAGCCCAGTTCAATACCCAATACTGTATTTTACAGGTTAAATTGGAAATGCAAAATGACATATGTTGTAATAATTGTGAAATGGCTTAAAGTCCATTTTCAAACTCTTCTAATTTCCTGGGATGTTTTAAACAAAAACAAAAAAACAATTTTATTTGGCATTGTTAACTGTCAATAAACTTTCAACAACTATCTCTGAATCGCCAGGATCTAGTTACTCTGGGTTTTCACACAGAGCAAAAGCCCTTTCATTCACACTGACCGCCCCGTGCTGCCGCGACCTTTGGACTCAACTCTTTAGACACCAAACTGTTTTATCATTACATCTTTAAAATTAATGATAATTTTACCTGCTAAATATATTTGACATTTTATGACATATGTATTGTGCGTGCCTTTTTAGATTGACACATTGCAGAGAGCTTATATTAATCAATCCCCTCCATAAATAAAGTATTTGGATTGTCTATTTTCAACCTCTGCTTTTGTTATTGCTTTTTACATTGCATAGAATTATTTAACATAGAAGAAAGGACTTGAATTGTATATTAAAGGCTATTCTTTTGTTTATCTTTTCATTCAAGTCAGTTAGATTTTTATTTTTATTATATATAAATAAATGACTAATAACTATAGCTTCACTGTTTTGGCTGTGATGGATGGATTGTGTATAATATTGAGACTCGGAGACCAAGTGTCATTTAGGCAAACTTCAGCAGTGCCATCTTCTACTGAACAACTTTGTGTCCCGCAAGCGCACTGAGAATGTAAGTAAGTTATGTAAGTAAGTAATCTTTATTTATATAGCACATTTTACAGACCACGGTCACTCAAAACGCTTTACAATTGTTAACAGATATTTTTCCATTTTCTCCACGCGATGATGACGGAAGCGAGAAGCCGAACACACTGGAGCATCAAAGCCCCCAACCAACACCATACATTCACTCACTCATTTCATTGATGCCCATTGTAGGTGTTTTTAGTAGTAGGGGAAACCGGAGCACCCGGAGGAAACTTACACAGACGCGGGGAGAACATGCAAACTTCACACAGAAAGGCCTGGAGGTGGAATCAAACCCAGGACCTTCTTGCTCCACCATGCTGACTCAGCGGCATGCGTACAGTGTGGGGCTGATCTCAGATACGTGGCCGTGATTTTAAAAAAATGGATAGCGTCAAAATGGGTTTGCGTCAACGCTGTTATCAACACAGTTATTCACGTCGTTAATAATAGTAATAATATGTATGTAATAAAACTAATTTATTTGTCTCCATACTCATTTAAAGTAACTTGTCCATGTCCACAACTTCAGTAACCTACTACATGTGCACAGTTGATGTCCGTATTTTATAATGTCCCACTTAAAACACACATGACAAACATTGGACACTCACAGTATCAATTGTTTACTGCACTTTTGTAGTTTGCTTTATTTCTGTCATTTTAAAGCTTGTTTTATTTATGTACTTTGCTGGTGCAGACTGGGGACTTTTGCAAATGTATTCCAAAGCGGTCTTTCACACCGGCCACATCCCTAAACTTTCTTCCACATTCTTCCTTCAGCTCTTAAGAAACTTGTGCTGCTTTTTTATAATGGCTTCATCTCTCGGGAGACTTAACAGCTCAGAGGAGGCTGCCAGGGTATCGCAGGAGAATTTCTAATAATGTGGGATTTGAGTGAAGACAGTGACTCAAAGAAGGGTGGGGTGAAAGTGTGTTCCCAGGCCTTTTTTCAGTGTTAAAGTGTGCAGGTTTTTGGGGCGTCACAATGTGTGCGCTTTTTTTACAGAATAAAAGAATCTTTTTATATCTGCTATATCAATCAATGCATAAAGTTTACAACAACAAGTGGTTTCTTATTCTTATTTTTTACTGTAGTGAGTTGGTGGCCGAGTGGAAACATTATTAAAATATAAAATCAGCAAATATTGCCAATGTCTTACAATACTTAATAAAATCAGACAATTGAATTAATCGGTAAACACTTTTATTATCACTATTTCACAGCTTATGAAATAGCTTATACATTTTTAAATGGACAACCCATGAAGAGGTTTGACTCTCATTCTACTTTTTATAGCAATCCATTTCACTGAGGATACAGGTCAGACCAAAGAGGCCCCCCATTGAATATTAGATATGTTTGTTGTAGTAATAATGGCAGTCACTCAGTATTGTATTACTCCACTGATGTCCGCTGTCGTTGTGTCCTTGGGCAAGACTCTTAACCCACTTTGCCAATAAAGAGCGCGAAAGTAATGTTTGCTGCATGCCTCAATGTGTACATGTGTTTGTGTGTTCATCAATCTGAAATTTCCCCATTGTGGGATGAACAAAGGACTTTCTTCTTCTTCTTGTATTGAGTAAGACAATCGGCAAACAGTGCAAACCATGCAACATATGTCCATTGAGGCAAACAGCGGATCAAGTGCAACCAATTACATCGCTACCCCTCATCTATTTCCTCTAATGAAACCACAAGGGGAATGTTCAGAGCTATTATCCAAACCTCATCTTAGCCTTATATCATTAAATGTTTTTTTATTGTTCTATTTTTTTTAAAACTTACATTCAGTTTTGTGATTGTGATGGAGAATTGTCTGTCAAATTTCAAATAAAATTAGCTAAACTTCTAAATTTGTCACGTTGCCCTAAATCTCCAGGTCAAAAGACTGTATTTTACCAACCTAGCGACTAGAGGGGTTTAAATACCCACGAGGGTGTTTCGGGAAAGTGTTGAAAGTGTTGAAAGTGTGGAAAGTGTGAATGAGCCTAAAATACAATACAAGCCCAGTTTATGTTACCCCTGTTTGCTCCCAATCATAATCAAACCTTATGGGTACATGCAGCAGGCATTGGAATACAAATAGTCCTCAATTGACTCATTTCAACAACAAATTAGAATCAGTCTATGCCAGTTAGTTTCATTTTTCTGCATCTATAATCAAATAGCAAACAAAACATGCAAATCAACTGAGATGAGCATGGCCAGGGCAGTGGTCCATGGCATCATCACATCCAGTGTAGAGTTTGCCTATAAATAGCCTTTGCAGTGGACCATGTGTGCGGGAGAAGGGGGGACGGATGATGTGTTCCGACTCAGAAGATGACCAGAGGAGTTGTACACAGGCTGGCCATGTGTGCGGTGCATTCAAGAGGGAAACGATGAGAAACCAGCCATTAGTAAATGTGACTGCAGATGAGACCAGTGTGCTGTAAATGCATCGGATTTATGTGAATTATCTACATGTAGAGGTTCAACTATACTGTCCCAATCAATCATCATTTTGGATCAGTGTTCATAAGTAGCAGCAGAAGCAGTGGTAGCAATAGCAATAGTAGTCGCACTAGTAGTAATAGTTGCAGTAATGGTAGGGGTAGTATTAGTAGTAGTTACAATCGTAGCAGCAGCAGCATCAGGAGCAGTAGTGTTATAGTAGCAGCTCTAGCACAATTGTAGTAGCACTAGTCATAGTAGGAGCAGTAGCAGCAGTGGTAACCCCACTAGTAGTAATTTTTTACATGCAACTATTTTAATTGCTTGTTTTTCCTAATCGGTTACTGACAAATCATCTATTATGTGAAACACTCAGGGCCACACAAACATGAATGGCTTTGATTTGATTAGATCAGATGCAGGACTCACGTCATCACCAGGGAGGTGAAGAAGAGCAGCGTCCCGAGCAGACCCCTCCTGCAGTCTGCATTCTTCCTCTGCCTCTGGTGCATCTCTCCTCCACAGTTATCACAGCAGCGGCACAGACAGAAGAGGAGCCCCACCAGAGGGACGAGCACAGTGAAGGCTAGGCCCAGGGCGGCACACACCACAAAGCCGATCTCATAGTACAGCACCTGCAAACACACCAGGGTTAGAAATGTCCCCATAACACTTCAATCACACCAGGGTTAGACATGTCCCCATAACACTTCAATCACACCAGGGTTAGACATGTCCCCATAACACTTCAATCACACCAGGGTTAGACATGTCCCCATAACACTTCAATCACACCAGGGTTAGACATGTCCCCATAACACTTCAATCACACCAGGGTTAGACATGTCCCCATAACACTTCAATCACACCAGGGTTAGACATGTCCCCATAACACTTCAATCACACCAGGGTTAGACATGTCCCCATAACACTTCAATCACACCAGGGTTAGACATGTCCCCATAACACTTCAAACACACCAGGGTTAGATATGTCCCCATAACACTTAAAACACACCAGGGTTAGACATGTCCCCATAACACTTCAAACACACCAGGGTTAGATATGTCCCCATAACACTTCAAACACACCAGGGTTAGACATGTCCCCATAACACTTCAAACACACCAGGGTTAGACATGTGGGGGATATTAGTATATTGTTGAGGGCTGTTTTCAAATGGTCACTATTTCATTTAATTTTGTTGACTGGAGTGCAGAGCGAAGTGTATCACTTGTAATTTCACATTTACAGTTAAACGCATGCTAAAAGGGATGAAAGTGAGTGGTTGGACATGCAGACATGCTCTTCCGTCTACTTCTGAATCATTATTTTCCCACCACTGAAATGCCCTTGCAGGTCTTCTGCTGCTATTTAAAGCTGGTTGAAGCAAAGTCTACATTTTGGTGTTTACCTTCTCCCTAATGGGTGCTTGTTAAATGATTCATAATGCAATGACACAATACAACAAGAAATTGCAATTACTTGTCAACAGTTCAAACAGTGATGAGAGAGTAGAGCTTTTTCAAAATGTTCAGTACACAGGCAGAAAGGAAGCTTATTAATTAAATTGTGCAATTTCAACCCAAACAATGTTTGTGAATGAACAGAGGTAATGTCTGTTTCTGGCTTAATTCTTCCTTCTTCAAAACACGTTTGATTATTGATTGACATCAATGCACACAACGGTAATTAGGATCTGAATAATTGAGCAAAGTTGCTGCCATCACAATACTGTTGCAGACACACATTGACAGTGTAACCTCCTTCATGTATAACAAATCAAGTCGATATAGTAATAATGGGATTAGCAGTGAAACAGAGTCAGGAGTGGGGGGGACTTAATGGCAGCTAAATGAGGAGAGGGGAGTGAGGACAGACTACAAAGGATGGGGTGAAATGAGCACCAGATGACTATTGATTAAGTGAATGAAGATGCATAACTGTGGAAGGACCTTTTGTCGATGGTGTAACTCTAAACAGATAATTTGACAGCAAAGACTAATCATGAACGATTTCAAAAGGTTTACAACTTGAGACAATCGCATTATTCCCATGAACATTATTATTCTTCAACTGATTTTTTGCAGACCAAGAGAAAATTGATCTGATGAGGTTTGCTCTCATTTACTTCAACTAATTCAAATAAAAACTAAATTTGCATATATAATAAATCAATACTGGGTAAATCAGTACTTGTAACTTCTATGATTGATGCATAACTTTCAACATATAATAAGAATTTATTCCAATGGTATTCCACAGAACTGCAGCTGCCAAAACCGTATCGCTTTGAAGTTGATATTTTTCACACATTATTTTGTTGAATTTGCATGTGCTAAACAGTGTTATAAATAAAACATGATAAAAAAAAACATTAAAACATGATGATGTGCTTAGATTTGCATATCAATTTGTACATTTTAAGCCTGGAGAACAATTCTGCTCCCACTCTTTCCAGTGCCACTCCTTGCAGTAGTAATATGAATACATACAGTGCATTGTGGATAATTGACTCAATATTGTATATTACATAACATTATTTTCATATTCACCACTATGCACAGTTCAGATTCTATTCACTGTTCAGCTGCATGAGTTTTCTCCAGATTCAGAAAATTAGTGAGAAGGGAGCTCATGCAGAGGAGCAGCTGTCTCCAGGGACGCATGCACACACACACACACACACACACACACACACACACACTTGCACCCGCATACACACACAGAGACACACACGACCACGTACACAGCCCCACACACAATGAGGCATGTGGAATTAAGTCTGTTCCATTAGAAAAAGTGGAGGAGAAGCTGAGGAGCCTTTGATCACCAGATTCATCCATTTCACAAAATCGTCCTTACTCACAATACAATACTGACGGGAACAAACTATGGGTGGTGGATTGTGAAAAAAATCACTAATTCAAATTATGTTGAAAACAAACTTTACAGTATTTAGTTAAACAACAGAAGCTCTTGCCCTCAAGAAACTCAGGCTTGCAGAAACTTAAGGCTAGGCTTAAAACCGTCCTCTTTAATTCAGCCTATGGCCAGACTGCAACATTGTACAGTCAGACTGTACAACGAACAATGATAACTAACAGACACTGATCTGACATATCGTGCATCTGTGCAATAACTTGAACTCATGTCAGAATGAATGTGCAATATAAAACCACATGTGTTACTATCACTTTACTGAGTACCTTTGTCCCATACCCTCATGGAAGGGTATGTACTTTACTTGAACAGGGACAGTGTACAATTAAACATTAACACAAAGGAGAGATGCATGTACCAGGTTATAGCAAAGATGCACATTTCTACCTGTAGTCCCTGGTGCTGCAAACATCTAAACATTACAACTAAGTCAGAGATGTTGTACTGCTTCTTAGTTAGTGATTTTATTTTAGTATAGAGTTTAGTAACAATACCTATATATTTTAATTCTAGTCTAGTTATAGTTCCTTTATCTTGTGCTTTGTGCTCCTCTTTCCTACTGTCAGAAACTCGTGATACAACTCTGAAATCTTCCCAGTGTGAGACAAATAAAGGATCTCATAATCTTGATCTCCTCTACCTACTTTACCTGTCATCACAATGACCTCAGCTGTAGTCTGTTCATTGCTATTCACCCACTGTGCCATAGTCTGTTTTATGGCGTGATGATGGGCCTCCATCCAGCCTCCATCATCCGCGCCTGAGGACTGTCTTCCCTGGCTGCACTCGTGGGCAACACCAATGACAGGCAGTGAGGGGAGGCAGAACCTCACCATCATAGAAAAATAATTATTTTATTTTACTAGTTGAGTTATTTTTTTCCACTGTCCTATGCTTTGAATGTATTTTAGTGCGGTTCCAACCAGTTTTTATAATTTTTGGAGAAAAAAATGCTGAAATCCTGTTTTTGACACGAGGTGCGGCAGTGCACATGCCTCACCCCAGATTCACACTGTGGACTGTGCGAGTGCACTCAGCTCGTGATGTTGTATTTTGCAGTTTCTTTCTAATATCTTGCTTTGAAAACATTTGTTAAACTTGTTATAGTGTCAACTAATGCATTGCATGAATCTATGTAAACTATTTATATTTAGTCGTTTGATTGGAGAAAAATAGACAAGGAAAATACTTGTCCTGAGGCAGTGTCTGTGCCTCACTGATGGGGGCGATAGTGAGCATAAACGTCATACCTCATGCCAAAGTTGCTAACAAACAATCGGTCCTATTGGTGCGATTTCTTTTGCAGGAAAATGGATGATTTGATTGAAGCTAAGATTTTTTTGTCTAAACTGGACTTTCAATCAAAGCAGAAAGTAATATAAACTGAGACTTTAGTGTTTGTCAATGTTGGTGTTTCTGCGTACTCGTGTCCCTCCGTACTCGCGTCCGCACCACCGGTGAGATGTTGTGTGACACGGAGCAGAGAGTCAGCAGCTGGATATTTTTTTGATTATTAATTGTTCTCTTATCTTTATATTACGTTTTTGGCTGTTATTGCATTGGCAAATGAGTTCTATTTTAATAGAATAACGATTGTAAGGCTGACTTTCAAAGTCAGTGCCTCACCAATCACAATCCTCACTCCCCGTCACAGGCACAGGGAGAACATGCAAACCACACAGAAAAGCCTGGAGGTGGAACTGAACCCTGGAACTTCTTGCTGTGAAGCACAAGCGCTAACCACTGCGCTACCATGCTGCCCATTAGCCGAGCATTAGAGACACTTTGTGGTAGCTACCTGTGACTCGACTCATTGTCCACATCTCTGATCTGAAGCGACATGAGCTTCCTGAGCTCCACACCTCCACATGGTGCGTGTGTTTAAGGACAGCTACCTGTGCTCCATCCACACCAAGAGATCATTGAGCCCAAGTACAACAGTGAGTCACATCTGCAGAGAGGGATTCATCGCTTCCTGCAGATAGATCTTCATAGGACTCTAATAAGATTATTACCATTCAATTTGGCAATAAATGAGCCATCAATTGTTTATAATTCTATGGTTTTACAAACAGATGAACTGGAGTTTTGGTATTTGTCTCACTCAAAAACTTAATGGATAATAATTTCAAACTGGGTATAATGGTTAAAAAACAGGTTATTTGGTCATCGTATCAATGATTGTTAATATTAACAGTGTGAGACGAATAAAGGATCTCATAATCTTAATCTCCTTTTCCTACTTTACATCTATAATAATTCAGTTCAATATGATGTCATTAACAGTCGTAGCAGTAGAACACATACAGAAAGTGCTGCGGTCTCAGTGGTCCACACACATGGCCTCACTCAGGCACACAACTCTCGGTGCGTAACATGTCACTTTTCCTCTCAAAAGCTTCTCGTCACAAAAGGATCAAAGCAGAACAGCCATCATCGCTTTTGAATGGACCCTTCGCTTGAACTAATCCGCTCGACGCTAAAGGAGCGACTGACCGGGCCACTTCTGTGAGCCCTGCCATTTTTATTTCACACACTTTTTGAACTCTGAATGTTGCAATTGTGTAAATGGGCTGCATGGTGGAGCAGTGGTTAGCTCTTGTGCTTCACAGCAAGAAGGTCCCAGGTTCCATCTGGCCACAAGGGGCTTTTCTGCTTGGAATTTGCATGTTCTTTCCATGTCTGAGGATTT